TACCTGGGAACAGAGCTGCCATTGCCCACGGAGCAGCATTCCCTGTAGCACAAAAAGATCAGATCCTTATCCTCTTTTGACAGCAGAAATGTGGAACGTGTTTGTAGCAAACTGAATTTCTTCACCTGGTGCTCATTTTGGCAGCTATTTCTGGAGTCTCCTCTTCCTGCTTCCCTTTTACTTTTGTTGATCTCTTTTTGCACTGGAGAAAACTGTGAACTTAGGGCCCAGATCACTGATGCCCCTTCCATTTTGCAGGTTCCCAAAGAGTCCTGGATTTGCCCATGCTGGTTTTATCTCATTGCCATTGAATTGCATGGAAACATTCCCAAACTCTTTGCAGAATGTTACCTTTACTCTGTATTAGCAAAATCCAGTCAATTATGTAGAAATTCTTTCCAAAAGAAATTCAAGGCTCCGATATTTTATAGGCGCTTTGAAAACATTTCAGACAGAAAAGCTGGAAATGCTCTGGGGGCTCCTGCCAGCCCCTCCAACAAAGCCCAGCACATGCTTGTTCTTAACTGCAAACTGCGGATGATTTTGTCCATTTCTAGGCAGAAGCAATGCCCTTTAGGACTGTCACAGTCTGACAGGACACAGAACAAAAATGTCACAAATTGTAAGAAAATATCAGCTCCCCAGGCTAACTGCTAACAGTGGCAAATCAGCCCTGAAATATTTGGGTCTTTATTTCACTTGTTACTTATAATTTCCTCTTCCCTCTGCCAATTCCCATGGTGCCACCACTCTAGAATCCCGCTCTCTTCTCTCTCTCTACAGTTTGCAAAGTATCTCAGTTCTCATTTTATCAGCAAGGACCCAACCTTTCCCCTCACACAGCCTCCAGCTCCCTAATTGGTTTTGTTGCTCTTAGGACTCACGTCTTTTTTTCCAGTAAACTCTAGTAACACAGCCAAGTCATGGCACTACTATCAGCTGCAGGGGGAAGAAGCACATGGCTGCAAGAGTGTAGGCATATGCTTTACTTTTAATATCCCCATTAGCTGCAGTGAGGTTACTCACATGTAACAATAGTACATGCAGAAATATTCACAGGACCATGCCCTCCCAGTCTCGCACTGCAGCACTCACACAGCTTTTTCCAACAACACGGTTACATTACAAACCCACACTCTGTGTCGTTTGTTCTGTAACCCACTTTTTTTCCCTCCTGTTCAGTGTAAAGGTTTCAGATCATTTTCCATCACACTGATAAGCCTGTGATTTTGGTGCAGAATCTTGACACTTACTTCACTGTCCAGACTTTCATGCCCGAATTCAGTGCCCAGCTAGGTAAACTTTAGTAATGACTGCACAACGTACTTAGATGCTAAGGAGGTGCCTAGGTGCAAAAGGAAACACCTTCAGAGACACCAGGTCACTGCAATGAAGTGAACAAATGGCCTGTGCATTACCAAAAAAAAAAAAAAAAAAAAAAAAAAAATGTTTTGCAGCTGAGAAGAAGGGGTAGCTTCAAAACCTGGAAACAAAAAGTGATTCTCTGCAGTCTGGCAATGTTTGGGGCAGGGGGGGAATGCATTACTCAGCTGCATTTTGGAGGAGACAACAGCTTCCATGGTCTAAAGACCAATCAAATGATTTTAATCAAAACTGTAGGCAAATCTCAGAAGCACCATGAAAATCTTAGCTTCAGCTATTCTTCTCCCACTTTCCAGCAGACTTTGAAATCAGAACAAACTGATATGATACTAATGGTAAGAAACATTAAAATAAAAGTTGTGTAACTGGTAAAAAATATTAAAAAGGGGAACAAATTGAGTACAAACCATCTTACCAACCTTGTTCTCCCAGATGGCCTCTGAACACTGTGCTGCAAGGTGCTGTTACCTATGCCACCTCCCTCAACCAGTCCCCCCCCCAGACAGAACTCCTCTGAATCTCCATTTCATATCAGAATCATAGAATTGTTTAGGTTGGAAAAGACCTTGAAGATCAAGTCCAACCATTAACCTAGCACTGTCAAGTCCACCACTAAACCATGTCATAGAATCATAGAATCATAGAATCATAGAATGTTTTGGGTTGGAAGGGACCACTAGAGGTCATCGAGTCCAACCCCCCTGCAGTCAGCAGGGACACCGCCAACTAGATCAGGTTGCTCAGAGCCCCATCCAACCTGGCCTTGAATGTTTCCAGGGATGGGGCCTCCACTACCTCTCTGGGCAACCTGTTCCAGTGGTTTACCACCCTCATTGTAAAGAATTTTTTCCTTATATCTAGCCTAAACCTACCCCGATTTAGTTTAAAACCATTACCCCTTGTCCTAACGCAGCTGGCCCTACTAAAAAGGTTTTCCCCCTAAGCACCACGTCTGCACTTCTTTTAAGTACCTTCAGGAGAGATAGATAACATTCCCAGAGCGAGTGGTCCTAAAAATGGCACTCACTCACTCCCCAACAGTGAGTACCCTGCTCTCATTTTAGCTAAAGGGAGGGTACAATAGGTAGACACGCACATCAGGTAGTGTTTTACAAGAAGAAGAAATGACTGCATGCAACAGAAGATGGAGGGGGGAACATAAGAACTCAGTGCATGCAGTGAACTTAAAGAAGAATGGTGAGGCTTCTCTTTGTGGCTCAAAATGACTGGGAACAGAGTAACACAAAGCCTTTCCCCGTGGATTTCTCAGCCCATAAAGAAACAAGATATTGGCTTTAGAAACTGCTCGTGGTAGAGATGTGAAAAACTGAGTGAGCACCAAATGCTAGATCACCAGCGCAAACTCCCCTCCATCTCCCAGATTATGGTGAACAAGAGTGAACAAAGAACAAAATCAAAATGAGCATATCCACGCAGAAGTTATAGTGGGATAGGAGATACCAATACCAAATGAACAGGGGAGTTACACATCAGACTGATTGTCTCAGAACATCCAAGTTCCTGCGTGTAAGCAAGAATAATATTTTTATT